TGCTGTAAACAATTTTTAATTTTTAACAAAGCAATAAAATCTCAGATGAAAAGACTTTTAATTAGGTTCATATTCGGTATGTCGGGTCATGATGTAAAATAATTATTTAGTTTGTGAATACAATATTGTATGATATAATATACTAACCTAACATAATAAAATTTGTTTGGTTTTAAATTTAAACATTTAATAGTTACCTAACCGTTGTATAAATATTAAATACATTTAATACCTCGATACACTTCATAATATCATTTAACTGCTAATGTTTATCGTATTGTATCGTAAATGGTTAAGTAATAAATATATTCAGTTTAACGTATTAACCATAACTATTTTCATATATAAACAAAAGTATCAATATTTTATTGAGCTTATTAATATTTTTAAGAATCTTATTTATTTTATTATCTCTCTAAAGTAGTTAAAGTAGTTATATAATAACATTATTCTTATCTCAATCATCTCATGTATAGTATTTTGTTACCCTTGTTCAGATTGCTGAATAAGATTTCTATCTTTTCTTCCCTTCCCTACTCTGTTTGAAATTAATTTCATATTGACATAGTTTTTAAATACCAAGTCTATAAGTATTTATTAAGGAGATATTGTATGTATTGTTGTAATTTATAATTTTCTATTTCAAAAGACAATTAATGATATTACATTTTACAGTATTACTTTAATTGTTGTACAATGTCGACCATAATTTATTATCATAAATATAATATTTCTTGTATATTTGTGTTTTTGAAAAACAACATCATGTCGTTGTAACTTAAAATATTATTTCGTGTTTCATAATAATAAATGGATTGGTAGGTTTGGCAATAGTATTCTTGAGGAATAGGTGAGACGTTGAAATTTGGATTTTCGACTCCTTGTCGATTTTGCGATGTATTATCGAAAAGGAGGAAAGGCTGATTTTAAATCGTAAGGAATACTTATGAAATACCACCTTCGTCGACACTTCGCGTTGGAGGTGGATTAACTTATCGCGTATTATGCTATAGAGTATAGACTATGTTATCATGTGACTATAAAGTCTCTGTGACGTTTAATTTATGCAACCATGTTATAGTCCAAACGATATACAATGGTCGCGGGAAAATGTCGTAAACATAATATGGTAAGTACACTGCAGCGCTGCGAAGACAACTATTTACAATCATAATATATAACACTACTCACTAGTAAGCACACACACACGCACACATATACATACATAATTTATACACCGGATTGTGTACTTAACTGTATAAATATCACCCGGATGCAATATATATAGTGTTGTACCTACTACCTATACAACTTGTGTCGCATCTGCTGCAGTTTTTGTGCATTGTATGGAAACATCGTGCGCACGTGATATTGCTTCTGCAGTCTTAAGACATACACTATCCCGACCAAACAAAAATTCCGTTTCTTCTTGCTAACAAACATACAATTCGTGTGCTGCCAGGACTGCTTGAAACTTTGCAGGTTTATAGCCTAATAGTATATACCTATATAATATAGTGGTTATAAAAGGACATCGACGCACGCTCTACTCGGCATTTTTCTAGTTGGCTAGTTTCAATATAGTTGCCTAATATAATATGAAATATTATATGAAAAAATAACTCATGACTGATTTTAACGATTGTGGGAAATAGCCCATCTTGCCCCCTTTCGGACGCCTTTGATCGGAGACTTGTATAGCCAGTGGCGCAACTAGGGAGGACTTAGTCCCTTGACTCTGGGTCGCATTTATTAAGTTTGCATTTCCACTTTACTTTCACAATGATTCTCTCTTAAATAATTATGTTTTAATGGCTTTCCTTTTTTGTTGTTGTTGGAAAAATCAACAATTTATATATTTAATAAATGTATATGTATTAGCTACACATAGGTATTATATTTCTCAGTGAAATAAAAAAAAGTTACTAATTATAGTGTACACTGTTTAAAAAAAAAAAATTAAACTTTACGCCGTGACTGTTGATTGGTGAATTCGTTAATTACATCGCCGTCATAGTTAATGCTCATCGTCATTTCTACTTGTATTATATGTTTATGATGGCCAATGAATTTAAACTTTCTTCCTTGATAATAGATCTTAAATATGATTTTATTCTTTTTAAAGTAGAGGAGGAACGCTCGGTGTTCATCTGATTGGTAACTTATGTTTTTAGTATACAGAAATTATCTTTGAGCTGTACAACCAGTGTTCAATATATAAGTATTTAAAAAAAAAATGGTTTTCTCTTTAAAAATAACATCAATTTCTTGTATTGTGTATGGTGAATTTCGGTTTTATCAACACATTTAATGACTTTAATTAATTAATTTAATGACAGAGATCGCATATTCGCGGTATTGTGGGAAAATATTCGGCTGAGTCATGTATGAATAGGTTTGAAAGTACGAATAATTTCAAGTGTACAACATTTTATTTTGCATATTTAAGAACTTTTGTGTTTGATATAAATGTATAATTTATTAAAAATATTATCTATATCAGGTCTGGTGCGATGTACACAGTGTATGCACAGAGTATAATACAGTAGACGCCGCTTATAAGACTCACGGATATAAGGTTCAGTCGCTTATTAGACTCAAAATCGTCTGGAACGGTCCGGACGTGTCCAAATACATTAAAAAAAAATCGGTTATTAGACTCAACACTTCGGTTATAAGACTCAAATTTCGTAAAATAAATAGTAGAAAACAAACTTTTTTGGTTATAATTTAGAAATAAATTGGTATTGAAAAATTAAATAATATTCATGTTGATTATTTCTAGTTTCTGTTGGTACCTAATAACGTATAATAATTTTTATCGCAGATAAAAGTTCACATTTATCGCAACGATTATCGTTATTATAGTGTACTGATTATCTGATAGCTTTAGACGTGATAAGGAGAGCTGTCCATCACCGTGGTAATAATTTTAATATACAATACGAATACGAACAGTATATTTTCAAAATATTAGAAGAAAATAAAAAACAAACTAAAATTACAAATTTTTTTCAAAAATAATTTTTATATGTAATATGTATTTACGTTTAATTATTTAAATTTAATTTTTTTCAAAAATAATTTTTATATGTAATATGTATTAACGTTTAATTATTTTAATGTATGTATTAATAAAATCAAAGCAAAATATGTAATAAAATAAAATTTATAAATACGTAATTAATTTTTTTTTTCCACTTCGCCTATAAGGTTCATTCGGTTATAAGACTCACTTTGTGCTGGTCCCAAAGTGAGTCTTATAAGCGGCGTCTACTGTATTATGTTTGACTGTTTACGTGTGCTAATAAATATTATTTGTTGAAGACTGTTCTAGTGTTCCTGGTCTCAAATTGTATATTGAAATGATTTAAGTATTGTGAAATGTATAATTATTAATTATTGATCAAGACTGTTAGGTTCATCTAAAAATATATAGAAATTGAAAAATAATCGAGAGATTATAATAAATTTGACCCGGATTTTAATTTCTTTCGATGTTTGTTTACAACACATAATGTATAGGTAGGTACATGTATTCTCAACACTCAACAGACAGCCCGTCACCGGACATAACATATATTTTGTATATATGATTTACTCATAAATATAAATTATATTAAGCTTTATAACAGTGCAGATGTATTTGGATTTTGTAAAAACAATAACTATTTATTTCTCGCAAATATTAAGACTTGAGAGTATACTAATTATTTTAAAAATGTATAATGCCAGTATACGGAATATATGGAGTATATCTTATGGGAATAACAATTTTTATAATATTATTTATCTGATGTATGAATAATAATAATATTCTGTAATTTACAATGTATATTATTTATTTATTAAAAGTACGTATTATAGCCCAATGTGGTTACATTACAATAATACCAATTCACATATACGTAAATATTTATATAGTCATGTTTGTATACGATAATATACATATTCCTATCGGCTACCTAGTAGCGTATCTAGGAATTTTTTTCTAGGAGGTAACCAAAAATATTTTCCATTAGGAGTCAGGGACGTGGCTCCTTCTCTTGTTATTTTACCTTTCCGTAAAGTGCACTTTTATAGGCCATGAATTTACTTAAAACTATACCAACATATTTTATAATATTAAACATTTATTTAATAAATAAAAAAGCTCTGGGTGGAGGGGGGGGGGGTGATATATCACGGGGATCACCCACCTAAAATATTCCACTGCGACTACCATTACTATATAATTGCAGTATACAAGTACGGCTTTTAGTGTGAGGACTAAAGGGTGTGCACAATTTTAGCATCCCCGTGATGTTTTAAGTTAATAGTTGCGTCTTTATACGCACTTATACATACGTTGCATCTCAAGTCTCAAAAATTGTTTCGAACACCTGTAGCTGCGTATGTCTAGAAACTCGAGTAAATTAAACGAATTAAATATTGTGCCCAAGCACGGTGCGAATATTAAATATATTGATTTATTACCGTAGCTCCAGTAACCGAAGTGCGACGTGCCTCCCCTGCAGCTGCAGATATACGCCTGTCGCCTACCTATAACATAGGTTAGATAGTAGGCCGTTTTTGCGCCTACGAGTAATGAGTACATAGTGCGTAATATATTATGTGTAATAAAATATAATATTATTTTATGGTAACCTACGACTTGACCCCGCGCGCACCCTCCAAAACGTCGACGGCGGTGGCGTTTGGGTCCGTTAACCCTTTTTTTCACTTAACACATACCTACCTGTTGCACATCGCACGCCGCCGACACGCGCGCGCCCGCACGCGCACGCTCGCGTATATTTGTAATAATATTCCGCGCCCGCGCTCGCGTGTGTGAGTGTAAGTGCGCCCTCCGCCGCACGCTCGTAACCGCCCGTGACGGTGGGCGGCCGCAACAGACCTTCACTCCCGGAAGCGAGCTAGCGCGCGGCGGCGGCAGCGACGACGGCGACGACGACGACGATTCGGGTCAGTGTCGTGTTGTTTCTCCCGGATCCGCCGCGCGGCGGCAGTCCCCACGACACGGAGCTCATCCGGATCCGCCACCGCGCGCCGCCGCCGCATCAGTACACGATCGGCCGTCGCGCAGCGCAGTAGTCTTTCGCGTCGCGCACCGTCACATAACATAACAACAGTCCGTCGCACGTCACAACGCCGATTTTTCCTACTCGCAACCATGACTTTTACCGGCGTACTTCGGGTAAGTCTTTCCAACCCTGTGCAGGACTTCGTCTTCGCGCTCCGTCTTCCGTGTCTTTTTTTGTTTATCTCGACGCGAACCGGATGCGCCGGCCGCGACCACCTGTGCGGCCGTTTATCGCCTCTTATTTGTTCCATCTCGTGCGCAGAATTTTAGCTTTTTTCTCGACACACGTGTGCTTTTATCGCGGGAAATGTTAAATAATAATCCGGTGAAGGTTCATTAATAAACATCGGCACATTATCGACATTCGTTAAATACTTGGCAGTTAGCAATATACAAACCATAGTTTTTGTTTTGATAAATTATGTAGCTAAATCTAATAGTTTTTTGTCTATAGGCTTTCTCACGTGTGTCTAAAAGATAATGTCTAACTATACGCCCCGCAGATTATATTATAATTTCGTCCAGACCGAACGCTTAAGTATTATTGTACCTATACAGGGGTAGTTACTCTTTTGTGATTTAACTATTTCGCCAGTTGATTCACATCAACAGCAATGGCAGTTCCTCCGCTCAAAATCTTTACCTATCCACATTCCGATGTATTGTCGCGCTACTTATGTCCTTTAGTTCTGCAATATACATTTCGTAGTATTGTGTTCGGCACAGATCGTGTTTTTAATCAAATACATAACAGTAATATAACATAGGAATAGCTTTTTAATAAAATATTTCCTATAATATCAGTGAACTGTTGTATACTTACCGGATCGTTTTCGTTTGGACAGTGTTATGTGGACTCGTTGGACGAACTGCAGCTGCAGACACTGGACGAGTGCAGCAACGACGATTCGAGCTATGACTCGGACTTTGGAGGCGACGACGACGCCAGCAGCGGCCCGCACTTTGGCGGTCATCACGACGACGTCAGCCGTACCACGTCGGACACACTCGGTGCGGAGTACGCGGATTACGTGAGTGCTGCCGCGTACAAGTCGAGAGTGGACTTTGCGCTCAAGCTCGGATACACCGAACGTCTGGTGCAGACGGCGATCGGCAAGTTGGGCCCCGAACCCACGCAGGACCAACTGTTAGCCGTAAGCTTTACGATTATATTTAACTATTATCTCCGTTGTAAACTCATATTATCATCTATAATGTTATAATGCGAGCGTGACGGTGAGTCGGTCGTCTCTATTGTCTCCTCTCTGCACGTACATGCGATATTGGTATTTTAGTTCCTATAGTGTAGCAATTCTCTCAACAGTCTCAACCCCCCTTGGCGCGGTTACCAGCAGATCATTTAGGGTCACGAACACATAAAATAACTTATGTGCATCGTATACACAAGAAAAATATTTGTGGGTATTGCAGAAAAAAGAAGAATTTTTGATTTGGTGGTATTTTAGTTTCTATAGTATAGCAGTTCTCTCAACCCCCCCTGGTGCGGTCACCAACCGATCTTTAGGGTCACAAACACATAAAATAACCGTATGCGCTTTGTACACAAAAAAAATATTTATGGGTGTTGAGAAAAAAAGAATTTTGGTTTGGTGGTATTTCAATAGTTTCTATATCGAGTCAATTTCTTGTAAAACCCCCCTTGGCCAAGTCACCAGCAGATAATTTAAGATTACAAACACAAAAAATAACCTTATGTGCATTGTATAGGACAGGGGTGGTAAATTATTTTGACACTGCCCGCCAAAAATCACCTTTTTTTCGAGCGTGCCATTAATGTAAGAAAAGAGGTGCATATTATGAGAAAACAGCTATTTATCGTTCAATTACTATTATTCAATTGTATCAGTAAATATTAATACATACTTTGTGATATTATTCATTATTAAAATTAAAAATAATATTATAATATAAATATTTTAATTTTTCACGTGCCATCAAAATTTTTTCGCGTGCCATAGATTTGCCATCCTTGGTATAGGAGAAAAATATTAGTAGGTATCACGAAAAAATGAACACATTTTAGTATAAGGGTCGTCACTTTTAAAAAAAGTTAAGAGTGGTCTAGTTTTCACCGTATTTAATATGTAATATCAGACTTGATGTGTGAACACGAGACTATAGAGACACTGCTGCAGTTAAGTGTCCTCACAATATTATGGATGTCGGCTGTATAGTTTTTCGTTTATTTAATACTTTAACGTTGTTGTTGTACTGCAGGAACTGATCAAGCTTGGCGCGCAATGTGGTCACAGATTGCACTGCGAGTCAGACGGCGAAGAAGCGCAGTCGAATAACACCAACGACCCGCTGCTTAGTCCCCAAGTGCCCAAACTTCGGCACGTCGTTATCGACGGTAGCAACGTCGCCATGAGGTATGTTAGGTCACAATAATTCCTGTCGACCGAAGTCGTTCCTGGAATAATATAACTAACATTTCGGTCTTATCTGTTCTCCAGCCACGGAAACAAAGAGACGTTCTCTTGTCGAGGCATCAAAATCTGCGTCGATTGGTTCCGGATGAGGGGTCACACGGACATTACAGTATTTGTGCCGAAGTGGCGGAAAGAAGCTTCGAGGCCGGACAACAGGAGGATCATTGGTAAGTGGAGAATTGCAGTTGAAGCTCTCCTATAACCAATCATATACTATCAGAATACTCCGTTGTAAATTGTTGGTTCATTGATGTTCAGGGATGTTTAGGAAAGTTGTGCGCGGTTAAATACTTAAAGTACAAAAATAGATAGCACGGGGTTATTTGATGCTGTGTAGGTTAGGGTGGGCATAGGTATTAGTTGTAGTAGTAAAATATAGCGAATATGTCTTTTGATCTTTGGTGCGCATCAGACTATTACAGCGCCATCAAATTAGTTGCTAAATAATGTACGAATTTACCAATCGATAAAATATTCGTCGATAGCTAATAAGCTAGCGCGTATAGTATGTCATTAATTTCTCCATTATCATTCCCGAAGTTTAATAATATGTCACATGTCACCTATAGAAACATAGTCACATAAGTAGCGTGACATTCGACTTGGTCGTTATATGGTCATTCGTCAATGATTAATTAAAAAATAATAAAACCTATTATAATACTTCCATAATATTATATATATAACCTTGTGACATTTTGATTTAAAAAGTAGGAGCCTTGTTTTATGTCGTTTAAAATTTTTGAAGGATACGGTTCCGTTGAAAAATAAAGAAACTATTCATTTTTCGTAATGGGTCTACTCGGAGCCCGCGCGCTGCTTATCGTCCAATATAATAGTTGATTAGTTGATTATAATTGATGCACACACCGTAGCAGTATAATACAATTTAACGTTTTTTGTTGTTGTCCATATAGACCAAGATATCCTGACGGAATTGGAGCGCGCCAGGATGCTGGTTTTCACTCCTTCCAGAGAAATCGGCGGCAAGCGCATGGTGTGCTAAGACGATCGGTACATTCTGCGTTTGGCCTCAGAACTGGACGGCGTCGTCGTGTCGAACGACAACTACCGGGATCTGGCCAACGAGAGTCCGGCGTTTCGTTCGGTCGTGCAAAACAACATCCTCATGTACTCTTTCGTCAACGACAGGTATGCACTATAAATAATAACAACGACGACGATCAAAGTGTTTTTGACAAACACGACAAACTAACGGCCATCGTTCGCTGTCGCACAGGTTCATGCCACCGGACGATCCACTGGGCCGTTCGGGTCCTACCCTCGACGTTTTCCTCCGGAGCAAAGCGCCGGGCGTCGGTCTGACCGCCGTCAGTACGGAGACGTGTCCGTACGGCAAAAAGTGCACCTACGGCAACAAGTGCAAGTTCAGTCACCCCGAGCGCGGTCTGCAGCCCGTCAAGTCCGTCACCGAGCGACTGATGGAACACGCTCAGCGGCAGGGCTCGGCAGGTCGGCAGATCAAGGGCAAGTCGGTTAGCCTGCCGCTGCAGCAGTCCGGCTGCAACAATCTGCAGCAGAAGAAGCCACTGGCCCGTACCATGTCCAACGTGCCGCCGACGACCACCCACCACAATCACTCCAACCATCCGCACTGGGTGGGTGGCGGGGCGTGGACGACGACACCGCCGTCTCCGAGCTCCAACAACTACAGGGGTAAGTCCGCCGAGTCGTCCGAGCCCGAGGACTGCAGCAACTTGCACCACAAGCTGCAGCGGCAGCTCACGCTCAACCCGACCTACGACCCGCGGCTGGTCCATCTGCGGCAGAGCCAGCACTGCAACGTGACGAGGATAGCGTCCGCGCCGCCCGTGCCCATGCCGCGGCCGCAGCCGTCGATGACCTTGCCGCCGCGCACGCTGGTGGCCGCCAGCTGTTCGGACCCGCAGATATTTCCCGGTTACCACGAGGCCAGGCAAAAGCTGTACTACCACCTGTCGTCGATATTCCCCGAGGAACAGGTGTCGGCGGCCATGCAGTACTACCCGAACGAGACCAACCCCCAGAAGATCTGTGCGGCCATATTGAACATGTTCTCGAAGACGTGATGTGTGTGTGTGCTCCGCTCTGGGCGCGTCCACCTTGTGCTGTGTGCACGTGACCGTTCACAAGTGATTTTGTCTGACAATATAATATTAATATTAGCTTATCGACAAGACGGCGACACTCGATACAATGTATCTGATTATTTGTGTTGATTTATTCTTAAATCATGTATAATATTTGTGTAGACTATTAAGTTAATTTTGTATATGCTTATTTTAAGTCGATATTTTTCTATGTTTTTGTTAACCTGTGTCAAACGTACGACAAATCGCGGTATTAATAAACAATAAGATTTTAATTTTTTATCATTTTTTTGTTTTATAAATTGAATACGATTTACACTGTAATTTCTCTAATATTAGGAAAAATGTACTGACGATTTCTTGTAATGATAACCAACCGGCTACCATAATTTTAATAGTTTGGACTTTCATTCTAAGGATTTTCCTCATGACCCTAAAGTAAAATGCTTGTATCTCATACTCTGATGGACGAGGAAGGGGTTTAGTAGTAGATGCACAGATATTATCTGATAAAAACTTGTTGACATCAAGTATATTCTTAACATGAAGAAAGCATAGGTAATTTGTGAGGCAAGAGTCTTGCCACAAAATATTAATTTACTAAATACTGAAACAAAATTAAATGTGTTTTCTTAAAAAATTCAATGTATAGCAAAACATCTATAGGTAAATTGTTTATAGCAAACAAAATTTGCCAAAATACTGCTAATATCAATATTAGTTTGTATTATTATTATTGTTATTCAGTTTGTATTATTTATATTAAATTAAACTTTAAATTAAAAAAGAAAATTATAAATATAAAAAACACTCATTAAATGTTAATTGTTAGGTTTTTTTTTCATTATTTATACTTATTTTATAATTCAAACTCAAAAAATTGGAATTAAATATAAATCCTTATAACCAATAAACTAACAATAAATCAAACAGATTTGGACAAAATTTAAGTACTAAAGAAAATTATTGAAATAGATAAAATATATAAATTATAAACTAAAGTTAACTAATTAGTTATAAAGTAATAATAAAAATAATATAAAGCACTCAATAATATATTGAATCTTAATTCTGTACAAAAAATTGTTTACAAAAATAACTATCAGCAAAAAATTTAACACATTAATTTGATTAAAAGAATAATAAATATTAATACTATTCAATTATTTAGAAACTTTGAGGTGAATAATTAAACTAGCTATTCAATAAATTGTTTATAATATTAATAGTATTTTTTAAATTTTCAAAGATTTAAACTTTTAGTTTTTTTTATTATGTTAATAAATATTCAGACTGATGGATGTAATGCAGTTATGGCAATCTTCGACCAATCGGGTTTGTTCAACTAAATAATCATATTTCTATGTTGAGTAACAATTCCATACATTAAGATAAAGTCAGCATTACATTTGTTGTCTCATTTAGACAATCATTAAAGTAAAACCAGTGGTGTATTTATGGAGGAAGATCTGAGGATAGATATACCTCATGACTTAAAATTGAAAGAAAAATATTCCATAGTGCTATAATATATGATTATAGTGTAAAATGAGCAGTTCCTGTGGATGTCACACATGAATGTTATTCAGTAAAACTAATCACCGTTTCCATTGATCATCGGGTAACCATACTACATACTACAGTTCAAAGTAGGTAACTATAATAATATACAACATTGCCTAGGTCCCACAGTTTTTCAATAACAAACATATTAAAGAAACCATTATAGTAATAATTTATGAACTTTCAAATTAAAATATAAAACAAAACCTACATAGGGCACTAGATCAAAATACGTCTAGTACATTTTGTAATAGGTTATCATGTTACGCTTACTAGTTTCAGTATTTTGAGAAGTTAAGATTACAAAATGAGAAATGCAGTGGTTTTGCACTCACGTTAGCAATAACAAGTGTATGAAAAATAGACAACAAATATTGTGTTGACTAGCAAGGCACTCCTCTAATTCCATAACAATCTAACAATCAACGTGTCTGAAAAATAATGCAATTAGGTTTTTATTGCAGTAATATTGTTCATTTACAATGACAAAAAGATAATTAAAAAACAACTATAATATATTTTCAAAATTGATATTTCCTCAATATAATTTATATTAATTCTGTTTATTTAACATGAACTTTCTTGTAGCTTGATGACCATCAGGCCTATGTAATTGGTAAAGAAGTCGATCTTGAATCTTTTTCACTGCAGCTACAGTCAAAACGAGGGTTTCATGTTTTAGCATGCTGTACACGTTCAAACCTAAAATAATTATTTAAGTATTTGAGGTAAACAAATTATACATTTTATTTTTAAATGCTTACCATAAACTGGCATCAGATTCATGTGTTTGATTTGGTTCAATGCTAAGCTGATATTCCTTGGCATTGTATCAGTACTATAAAAATGTATATTAAAATTAATAATTTGCACCCAGCTCTTAGATTATAAAATAATAATTGTCAATCAATAATCATAATTACTCGTCTATAAATAGAACTGAGGGTCCCCAAAGTCTTGAATCAACTAAATCATTGATGTATCCAGGATCGTCTGTGGGTAAATCCAAATTGTCTACAATGTGTAAATCGTCCTAAACAAAAATGTCAGATAACATTGTAGGTAAATTAATTTGACAATATAAAATATACATACTTGAACTAGCTTGACAGATAATGTTGACGTGAGTCCATACACTCTTTTGTAGAACGGGAGCATATAAAAGTGAGTTGTATGAGATCGTGGACCGTGTATAACTGATCCACCTTTGAACAGCGGAGAACGTCTAGTACCATGTCGAGCACGTCCTTGACCCTTTTGTGGCCAAGGTTTTTTACTGCTCATATTTACCTCGGCTGTAACTTTGGTATTAGCGTAACTCTGTAGTAACAAAAAAGGGTTTTAGACGCTTATAGTGGAAAATAATTGAGGAATAAAAGAAAAGAAACTTGCAACATATTTATATTTTCTTTGCCACACAACATTTTCATGTATTATATCAATTCTTGGTCTCGATCCAAACACTTGGGGATGTAAATCTATGATTGTAGAAGGATTTTCCTTTATAGTATCCAAATTAGACACCCATGCCTGGCGCAATTCCGTGTATCCACCGTATACCATTGGCGGCTCTTCCATTTCATCTAAGAATTTATAATTGCTTAAAACTGTTTGAATACTGATACACTTTAAAAATATGAGTTTAAGACTATTGCAGACTTACTGAACTCAGAGTTTTCAATTGGTACGGTAGACAACCGACATGCCGCTGTGAACGTCGACGGGAGAGCGCGAATTTGTTTTGCCAAACAATTTAACAACATTTTATGTTTTTTATTTTATTAACCGTAACAAATAGAAAGTTGTCTTAAATAATATTATAATTTATAATGGCAAATATACTTCAAAATTTTAATAATTAATTTTAATCCTCAAGTATTTTGTTAGATGCCTTATGGATGTTATATTGTTATCACTGTTATCACTGTTATCACTTGTATTTTTTCCCGATTGTAAATAATGTTATCTTTTCTATGACCGTGGTAGATTTTGTCATCATTAGTGCGGCAATCAGTTTTTAAACGGCATGTGCGTTTTCCAAGGAAAAATTTAATTTGAAAACATACCTCGATTCAGGGGCGGAGTAGGAACCAAATCCAGGCGGGGGGCTTAAAATTTATCTAGGCCACCCACTAAAAATTGTTTTCCCACTTCGCTTGAATTTCGTTTTTCTATTTAAATGCACTAGCACAGTTGCTCAGCACTCCAACATCTTATAAATGTTGTTTGTAATTTTGTATTATAAATTATAATAGCATAATTTTATAACAGAAATTCTGATGCGACTATACGAAAATTTGGGTTTTCGTATATTCTTCAGCTGACTTATTTTTTGGTTTTAGTAGTTTTCGTTGACATTTAAAATTAAAAGTTTATTGTAAACTAAAAATGACCACTCCACGTTAACATGATGTGATAGGCGCTTGCTTTAAATGAACAATATCGTATTCAAATATCTCGTATAAACAGGATGATTTTTTAGGTATGCTCACCCCATTTTTGTGCTTAAATTATGCATACATTCAAATTCTGATGTTTGGAATTTTTAAGTGTGGTTAAATATACGATATTTTCGTGTACTTCGATTTTTCTCAACGTTTAAGAATTATCCTGTGCCGATGCCAACTTTTGTTTTTGAAATGACAACCTATATGTTTTACAGCAAAGTGTGATTCAGATCATTTTTCTGAAAATGTTGACGTATTGTAATCGAAATTTGAACGAAAACTTCCTTAGTTATTCTTCTTTACATACTAAGGAATAAGGATAATAGATAGACTATTATACTAAAATGCTTGGTAAAATGGATATGAGCTCGATAATTATAATTTAGTATGCAATATAAGATATTCGTCAATAATCACTACCTAATCGAATTCTAATTATCGAGCTCGTATCCATTCACAAAGTGTTTAGTATTTAATATATTACTGTTTATATAAGTCAGGGGCGGCCAAACTTTTTTTGGTCACGATATACTAAAAATATACTTCACCTTTGAGGATCGACTTTCATAGAAAATTTTTTTATTATTGAATTACTAAAATTATTAAGAAAGATACTTGTATTAAGTGCATATAAACATACAATAAGTATTATTAACTAATTACTAATTACTAAAAATAAAATAATAATAAATAATAATTTCCACAATCGAATGAGATAAGTTTAATTAACATATTATTTTGTTGATCTGGGCATTGTTGATGTGTGACATTGCATGTCGTTGACCAATTGGTCGTAATCTGGCGAATAGTTGCTAACTGCTAATCGAAGACACTGCTGCAAATGGTCATCAGAGAGCGTAGATCGGAATTCTGTTTTTATCATTTTCATGTGAGAAAATGCTGTTTCGCACAAATATGTAGATCCAAAATAACTATGTAACTGCAAAAGCTACATTCCTGAAACACGGATATTTTTCTTCGCTCAGTAAATTCCAAAATTGTGTTTCAGAACCTCGATCTTTGGGGAATATATCTGATTTAATTTTTATAATTTCAGATTCAAATTTTGTAGAATCCATATCAAACAAATATTGCTTATTTGTGTAGAAATATTTTCAATATTGTTTGTTTCGGAGAAAGGAACAGACATAAATGTAATAATCGGCTCTAATTTTTGAATATTTTTAAATCGTCTTTCAAATTCACTGTACACTTTTTCAACCTCAGAGCAGTATATTTCTACTGCCACTGTATATATACATATATTATGCGCCTATGGTGCCATATTATTTTTCGCATTATATTATCATACACATCTTCCGGGTATTCGGGCCATCGGCTCCATTATGTGTGATGACAACGTAAAGGGTCAATTCTATATAAATGCATATACACCTGTAACGACGTGCTTGTCTCAACATGTATCCGCTCAATATCCATTGTTAGCAACACAACCTATCCCAACCAGTCCTTTGTTGTATTGTTGTTGTTGTTGAGGGCACACAAGACGATTCCTATAAAGCATACCGAAACCATGTCCGATACATAGGTTTCCATGATGGCCATAAAGATCTAGTAACATTCACGTTTATCTTAGTAAATACTCTACTAATATTTTACCAATCCCCGGCTTAAAATGCTACCCCTCCACAAAATGCATAGATTTCTGGACACTTGCTCCGTTGTCCGCCAAGACGGAATCGGTGCGTTCTAGACAGCCATACCCTTGCTGATATACCTCACTGCCTTCGTTCTCCGTGTTTTCACAGTTCTCATTATTCGTCCATCAGTGTTTACACTCAATTTAATTTTTAAACATTTTAAATATGTTTAAATGTGATCAGTGCCCGTCGGTGTTCACGCGTAAAGACAATTTAGTCGCTCACCAAAAGAAGCATACGGGTGAGCGTTTTTCGTCTACTGACTGCCTTTTGACATAATATTATTCATACAAGACAAGCCTTAACAAACACGGGAGAAGTATTTATGGTATGTATCTATTTTAATCTTTTTTATTTTTCTATTCAATATTAATCTAATATTTTTTTCTAAGGTATTGCTAACGTCTCAGCGTATCAGCAGCCTGCCGCGCCGATCAATGCTAGACCGGTACGTGCCAGTACGACCGTCATACAATTTGGCCCGCATGTAGCTCCTCAGAGAGATATTCAGAATCCACTATACCCAAGACAGTCATCACTCACCAGTGATCACACATTCAATGGATTTAATCAACCGGGCGACGATATTTTAGCTAAGGTAATTAATAAAAACATTTTTTGTTCCGGATGTTCCAGCCGGTGGTTCAAATACAGTTTCCGAGGACGATTTGTGAATGGAAGCAATAGACAAATTTGAGAATCAGGACTTGGTTGATACAGGTTAGTTTTATTTTATTTATCGGGAACAATTACATTTTTAAAAGACCCGCTGATTTTATTTTATCCACCGTGGATTATTTAAAGACGTTTCTCATTAAATTTTAAATGATAGACCTACAGATTTAATAATTGAATACAAGTTACATAGATTTTTAAAATACGTGCTGTTAAAGTAGATTTTTTTTAATATTCGAACACAAGATAAATAGATTTTTGAAATACGTAACGTTAAATTTATTTTTAAAAGAAATATCGCTAGATTTTATTTTTCGGTCGCTGGTTGATTAGATTTTTAATAGATTCGACATTAGATTTATTTTATCAGATATTAATTAGGTTTTTTTTTAAAGAATCTTATACAACTACCGTTAACAGGATACGTGTTTCTACGGCCATTCTATGTATGCTGTCGGAGCGAAAAAAGTTAGAACGGATGTGGTGAAGACCCCCGCGTATGGTAATACTCCAAAAATATCATTAATACTCAGGTTTAACAAGAGTTTCTCCGATCACTCGAACATGAGTTAAACAAATTAATTAAAACTAGAGTACAACTAGGATCGATAAAATTAAATTTAAAGCTCTAGGCGACATACAGCCGGCCTAAGGTCACAAACTCGGCAGAGAATAGGGCGTTCAAGACATCGGTGGAAGAAATTTTTTCGGATAGTAATGTTACGGAGATAATCGAGTATTGGGCTTACATAAAGTTGTTGGCCGAGGCAGAGGAATATAAATCACGCGGAAGTGGTTTTACAATGGAGTCGATAGATGGGCTGTTGTATAGTGTATAGATATACATCGATGGGTGGGTCGTCGTACTTACCGCAGCCAGCATAAATCGACGGAAAACGGGGCACCATCAACCCGCAAAACATAGGCCGGCAATGTTTCAAGTGGGCGATTCTAGCAAGACATGTAACGGGACCAGCGGCATATCGTTGTAACGAACACGACACTACCGCCGACGGCACACTACTCACCGTACTATAATCATCCTCACGCTAAAATGTTACAACAGAGTGCGCGCAAGGGCAAAGTATTTTAGATCGCGATCATATTTTATCAGTTCATATAGGAATAAGTTTAATTATTCAACAGTATAAATAAGAAACGTTTGAATATTGTATATTTTCATATAAAATATTAATTCCGCCCCTATCATTCTAAGACATAATCAATAAATCCCGACAAACATATGATGCGCCCTTACCCGTCTACCATGGACAACCATCCCCAAATATATATAAAAAAGCTTACGATATTCAGTTCAACTCACCTTCCCTGACACACTTGACAGTGTGCAGTACCTGGCTATTACAGCTCTCGGTCTCCAATCGGCCTCTATACGACGGCTATTGGACGGCTAGAAGTAATCGGCCGACTGTCCTCTTGTCAAGTTTGTTTTGCTCCGCGTTTTAGTATACCGCCGTATCCCGTCTAATACCCACGCCGCGCAATTCTAACTCAGTCTCGTCAACGATAATATAGTACAGTTTTGTTTCCACGCCGCGCTTTGATATACAGCCGTATCCCGGTCTAATACACACGCCGCGTATCAACAGTTCCGTCTCCACGTACCCGCATCATTACGACGTCGTAAAATATTGTTGTCACCGTCGAGTGAGATATTATATATACATATACACTTTACATTGTATTTGTAACTAGTACTGTGAGTAATAAAGATATATTAAATACCTATATGTTTGTGAATATCCGATTTCATTTTATATAAAACCGCGTGATAACCATTATTTGTAAATATATATATGGAGAGATATACCAATGTATAAAATGTCGTTTATTATCAATAAAAATCTTTTGTTAATGAAAACTGAATTCTCAGTGTTATAAATTCATTACATCGTGTTGGACAAGATTATAAACAGCATGAAGACAATATAATTTCGACGACCTGACTTTCTCGGTACCTCTATCCGACATCAGCAATTTCGAAAAAAACAATCGGAGAGTGTCTTTTCTCTCTTGCTCGATAATGCGCATTCCTAAATGTTTCACTATAAATACAGACGCTATGTCATTGAAAGCGTCACAGGATGTCTCACGTTCGTAAG